AATAACTTGTTTTTGTTTTTACATGAATTATTAGATTTGGCTGCGTTATCTAATGACGTAGATGTATATTATACTTAAAATGGTTTTTTTTTCATGGTTTAACTGCATGCTTCGTAGCGATCCTTTACGAATGTATAGGATTTTCCGAAAAATATAGGACAAGCTCTTCTTTTTTTTGAAAAAAGAACCATTTTTTTAATGATTTGAGAAAAACTATAGTGACGCGTACAATCATGCATAATCAGCATCTCAGATTATGAGGTAAATTCCACATGAATGCAAGTTCAAATTGTTCCAAAACAATGGATAAAACTTTTTCAATCGGAAAGTTAAAATTAGTTGATGGGTTCTATTTGATTGATTGATTGGCCGGAGCTTACTAACATATGTATTGAAAACAATTATGAACTAGATGACATTCGAGTTTCAATCGATTTTGAAATGCGGTGCGAAGATATGAATGTTGATCGTCGAAAAAATCCATATTTCATGAGAAACGAATAATCATTTATTTCTACGATTATTCATACAGCACTTTTCCCACGGGATTCTAAAGAACACTGTCGATTTATCGTTGAATTATCTATACGATTCATTATTTATGGCCAGCTGTCCTTGCAGCTGTGACGAACAAGATCAGCTTATCGAACAGATGATGACTAAGTTTTAATGTTATCTTCATTTTAATCATCTTAAAGGTTGAAAAACAACAAAGTCCATAAAAAGAAGGGGTTCATTATAAGCAAAATCGTCCGTACTCCTCATAAAATTCAATTTTATCTTACCTGTTTTGTCATTTTGACTATTAGAAACCTTTGACTAATAAAGTCAAATTGTATACCACGCCACTGAGATAACAGAAATTTATCTATGTTCTATTTCCTCAGAAAGATAAGGTTATAGAGTGTTTTCATGGAAAATATTCTATTCATTTGCTCATATATTTAGCCAATCTATATGAAAAATTAAGCTGTTTCAGTTCTCTGTCGAATGATGCATGAACATATGAGAAACGATTATTTATCGTCTATCTTTATATAACAATATAATTTATGTTGCATATCACTAATGAACTCCCATGACGAATCAAGTAAGACTCTTCTTCGATGGTAGTAGTAGTCCACTGCAAATTTCATATCAATTGATAGATCTGAATTAGATCTACCAAATAATGCTAAGAAACCCACGAAAAAGAAGTGAGAGGGCATGTCTCGTTTTCGAAATACTCAAAACAGTTCTATGTTGACTATTACTATCCGGAAGATGTTCTTTGTCCAAAAATAAATCAACAATTTTTTCGTTTTCAATTACACAATATATAGGATATAAAAGTGTGACACGAAGTGCTCGTGGCGATGCATTTCTTTCAGTGAACTCACGATACATTCTGAAAACATGCTTCAAATCTACCCTACAGCACATCTGTTTTTTTTTTCTGGAAAATCGATTGGTTCCTATGTTTTTGATACAATTCGAATTATTATATTACCTACTCTTGAAGTACAAGGCAGCAAAGTCCTAAGATTCAATCGTATCGAGTCGGTTTGATTCCGATCAGACGACTTCGAGATGATTCAATCGTGATCATTGATCGATCTCTTAATATATTCTCGGCTAAAGGTTGATCGAGAAATAATCTTGAGAAAAACATACACGACAATGCATAAGTTGAGTATATTTCGTCGACTAGGTTATATGTCACTGTATGCGCAAAACAAGAAAGTAAATGAATGATTAATCAATAGATCACGACATATTTTTATGATACAGTCTGCGACATATCTTATTTTAGTGTGTCGACTGGGTGCAATGTAAAAATTTCGAATTATCTTCTATGGAGAATATTTCATATTGTATCGCGTTTTTTTCCAAAATGAAGATCATTTCGAAAATCTTCCTCGTTTGTATCACTCAGATGCTTTATCATGGTGTTCATATATGGCACGATTACGGCCAAGATCAGATAATGGTATATGGCCATATTTTGGCTGTATATACACTACATTCCCATTGTATACGGTCATCATCCAAATGTTTTCAAAAATAAGAAAGCTATCTGGAAAAATTCTATTCACATCCTGACAGAATTTTACGTATTCGTGTCACACCGAGAAAAAATTAAATACTCTAGATAATTGATTCTCGAACATTCGTTCGGTTCTAACGACTTTTTCAATAGGATGCTAACCATACTTAGCCTATAGGTTTTCGCGACATTAGATGCTAGTGAATCAACCACCATGGAGAGAAATGAAATGGCTGTAATGTAACGAACAGTGTTCAATTAATTGTATTGCATTTTTTTATTGCTTCAAACTTGTCGATACGATAGTAGAACACAGAGAGACAGTGACAAAAAGCTCTGAATGAGATGCAATCATTTTGAAAGGAAGAAATGAAGAAAGAAATATGCAATCTTACATTTCTTTGGCAGCTGTTTATTTACATATTCTATCTTCACATTGTCATTAACTGTACAGACACGAATGTAAGAAGAAAAAATCGATGGCAATAATAATAAAAATCCTTTTCAATTTGTTTTATTGGCTCGTTCGTTGAGTAATGTACTTTTTTTTTGTTGGTCTTTCTTGTTTGTCATAGTTGCATTTTCAGAAGAAACCCAAAAGAATCATGCAATCAACGTTATGGTCATGTTTTTTTATTCGAAGAATAAACTTCTGTATTTGTGCAAAGACATGCAATCATGCACTATGATAATGGTGTTTTACTTTTGTTACTTTTGAATTAAGAAAAAACAGCATTCATATCTTCAATATCTCTACTGATTTTAGTTGAAAAAAATAGCAGCGATACATTCCATTATTTGTCAACTGTTTGCAAACAAAGATGGTTCTTTTTCCTATGCATGTATACAAAACAGATGTTTCCTAATATGTTTTGTATTGAAATACACTTATTATAAACATAGTTCTAGTGGGTGTGGATGTGGAAAAAGAAGGTACACTTACCACAACGCTCATCCACGCGCAGATTCATATCCACTTACACACACATCGACTCACATTCTCGCTGGAGGAGTGTGCATGGTTTGAATCTGTTTCGTACGTGCATGGACTTTATGCTCACTACGGCTCTATCAGGATAGTTCCTGGTCGTACGCGTGCGTGCGCGAATAGCATACCCATGAAGCGTTTATTTCATTCAATTACGTTCTATTTGGGAGATAGAAGAAGAAAAAAACATTAATCATCGTATTTGAGTTCATCTTAGTGTTGCTACCGGTAACGGTAAACGGCAATTTCGGTCCGATTCGGTCTAGGATTCCTTCACGGTCGGTAGAAACAAGTTTTTTCAGATTGGCCAGTCTAGCATTTTTTAAAATTTTTTGCTTATTTTTTCCTCATTCTCTTGCCAAAATTGAGTATAGGAATGTTTGTTTTCGAATATCAAACTAGTTTTACGAGTATCCATGACAATTTCGATAGAAAAAAATGGATTAGAATGTTTATATTTAGTCAATATACATCGAAATACACTTCATATATTTTATCAAATCATTTCGTTTTCCAGTTTTCTGATCGAAACAAAATGGAGCAGTGATTCTTCATTGTAATTTATTTAATATTTTCCTCTAATTTGCATTATTTATAATATGTCCTTCCGTTACAGCTCTAGTGAAAAGCTTCGTAAGTTTCCACTTTGGTAGCAGTATGTAACAAGAGCATGCTAATTCGTATTTATTTTATTTAGGTCTATATAGACATTAAAACCCCACAAACTAATTGCTCTTGAAGATCTGAGTAAGAATCGAGCAGAGTGAAGCATTCGATCTTTATTGTCAGACAGTCTTATATGAAATGGGCAAAAAATAATTTGCTTCTGACAAGTTTTAATCCAAGACTTTGCATAGCTAAGAATTTATGAAGAATAGCTGTGACCTAGCGTCTCAGTTAGTTAAAGTGTGGAGTCTTTGCTGTTCTCTTTAGGAAAGTGTATTATGCAAATCACAGACTATGTCAAAACTGGAAGTCATCGTGCCAGAAAAACTATCAAGCCGTCGTGAACATCCAAATATCTGTCGGCAAACTAAAAAGAGCATCATAAGGCAGATTTTTCACGATTTTTGGAATCAAATAAGGAGATAGGACCCATATTTCTCACGATATCCTTTAAAAACTTCATGATGACTCATGCCGGTCTACCGACCGATTCGGCTCGGTCTGACGGGTCTAGAAAAGACTCTACCGGTTGCAACACTGATCAGTTCAATATCATAAAGAATAGTAGCACTTCATGAAGGACCACTACTTTTGTCCAGGAGTGTATATAGAAATTATAGGACCATTGTCAAAAGTATAAGAAGACTATGAAGCCTAGTTCAACTTTTTCATGAGAATTAATTTTAATAGAATTTTATGAAAACCTGTATGTCTAACAATTTTAATTTTAAACACAAGTTCTAGTTCATATCTTGCGTATATGAGAGAAACATGTGCTCGTTTGTCATGATTTTCAGTTTACTAACAGCGTCCTGCATCCTTCTCTTTGGTGTCGTTTTAGTTTACTCGACTATTATTCATTTTGACCAATTTTCTTTTGATTTATTTTTTCATCGACCAATTTCCATAGCGACTAATCTTGAACAAGGCACGTTCAAACAACATAAAATTTTCAACTCTATATTATGACGCTTTCGAGAGATATTGAACAAAAGTTGATTTGGTAATCCGAAATTCTCTGTAGGATTTCATTCGATATACTTAAATTGATCCTTTTTAAAGTAGCTCATATTGATTTATTTTTGTTTCGAATAAATATTGTTTCAAATCATTTTATAAAAAGAAAAACAACTTTCCCCTGACACTACCATTGTCCATGTGTTGAATACTGTCTGTTTGTTATTTTTATCATTAGAAAAAAAAAGAAAAAGAAACACACAAAGAAAATTAATTTAAACGACAAAAAGAAAGAAGAAAAGAATAAATGTTTACAATAAATAACAAAATTAGTGAGCGAATGAGAGGAGAAAAAAGGAAAATCTACTCTCGACATATGTTCGATGAAATAACAAAACCCGGATTTGAATATTCTCGATATTTTGTATGTCCAGTAATACCCATTGTTGGATATGATGCTTGTTCACTCATATAAACAGGATCTCCTTTTCTACATAAACAAAAACATAAATCAAATGAGAACTATAGATAACAAAAGAAAAATGCCAACAAAAGCCTATCTCAGCCCCGAGCAACCCAATTAATTTCTTTTTTTTTTTTAGTTTATAATTTTTATCAATAATTCTATTCTCCAAAGAAAAATTTAAAAAAAACATTAGTTACTTTATAATAATACCTCTATAGACAAGTTTTTAAAATCCTGATTTCGGATTTTTTATCGCTATGAAAAGACATTGACAATGAATTAAATAAACAACACAAAGACTCAAAACAAAAGAAAAAAAATGAAAACAATTAGTAAATCATACCTATGTCGTGATGGATGTCGACAACAAATAAAACCAATTAACATTGTTATAACAACAAGAAGAAGGAGACAAATTGGTATAATCCAAGCAAGCTAAAAAATCTCAAGAAAACTTTTCTTTCAACAAAAAAATAAAACAAAAAAACTCATACATTAATTAATGAAAAAGTCGAACTTTGTAATGGTGCAATATCAACTAGATTAAAGTTAAACAAGAGAAAAACAAATTTTTTTTTCAATAGAACAAAACAAAAATCTTATTTACCACGAATTTCACATCGATTTCCACTAAATCCATTAAGACATTGACATATAAATCCACCAACACCATTCAGTATACAACTTCCTGCATTTAAACATGGATGATTTTGACATGGATCATTTATTCGTACTAATTGTTCAATAGTTGTTGTTATTGTTGTTGTTATTGTTGTTATTGTTGTTGTTGTTGTGATTATATCTTCACAACGTATACCCGTAAAATTCGGTAAACAAACACATACAAAACCTCCAATTGATGTTTCTGAACATGTACCACTGTTAAAACAGGGTAACAATGCACATGGACTTTGTAAAGTTGTAGTTGGTATTGCTAAATAAAAGACAAAACATTAAAATGAAAAAAAAAAATTTTTTTTCTAAAATTTTTATTTATTTATTTTTCTAAAGAAGCAAAAGAAAACCTCGTTCACAACTTGACCCCAAATAATCAGACGTGCATAAACATTCAAAATAACCAAACTGAATATTTCTTTGACATGTCCCATTATGAAGGCAACGTTGTGATGGACAAGATAATTCAATTTCACAACGTGAACCTGTATATGCTTCTGTACAAGCACATTTATATAATTGAGAAGAAGAAGATGATGATAATAATAAAGCAGGAGATGACGTGCATGTACCATGATGAAGACAAGTTGCTAAACTGCTTAAACATGGATCAAGCCAAAATTCTATATACATATATACATATAAGAAAGCATAATTTAATCATGCAAAATAGAAAATAAACTACGCTTTTTCTTTTCTTTTCTTTTCTTTTCTTTTATGTCTAACCTTCATGACATGTAGGTCCTGTTCGATCCGGTGGACATGCACAATAACTTCCTCTTTCCATTGGTATACATGTTGCTGATGGATGACATATTTGTTCAGTTGAACATGTATCAATTAATGTACAACGTGTACCTGTATAAGGTTCCACACAACGACAATAAGAATTTTCATCTAATGTATTATAACAAATACCATGACCATTACATATTGAACCAGGACAATATTTTGACGTATTACAATATGGTTCTAATAATTTATTATCATTACATAAACAAACAAAACCATCTTGTATACTTAAACAAATTGATTCTGGATGTGGACATGGATTTGAAAAACATGGACCTATAGGTATATCACAATAACGACCCATATAACCCGGTGAACAATAACATTCCATTTGATCATTATTATTAATATAACATGAACCACCATTTAAGCAAAAACCTGTATAACATTGATTTGAACGATCACGTGATTGTATTTGACAATTTTTTCCAGCATAACCTTGTCGACAATGACATATATAATCATTTGTACCATTACGTTGTTCACATTGTCCTTGATTAAGACATGGTGATTGAAAACAACTATTTAGTGGTTCACATTGACCTGTTGTATGTAATTTTTCTTTATCTATAGTCCATGTATAACCATCCATACAAGCACAACGTCGTTCAGGAAAACAAATTAAACCAAGTGAAATATCACAATCATCTTGTCGAACACATGCACTATGAAATAAGCCATAACGATTTATTGTTGGTACAATATCTATAATAAATAACAATGAAAATAAATATAAAGTTTTTATTTGTCAAATATTTATATTAACCTTGACAATTTTTTCCTGTATGAACTTGATCACATACACATTTATATGTATAATCATTAATACGATAACATGTACTATTTCTACAAAATATACAAAAGTTCTAATTTATATTAAAATCATAGAAAATAACA